ATCTTAGAAATGTGAAGAATGTAACAAAGTTTTTAAATGGTTGTTACACTTGATTATACATAAGATAATCCATACAAAAAAACTTGTACAAGTGTGAAGAATGTGGCAAAACTTTTCTAGATGTGTATAAGAGACAGACTCCAGCCTGGGCGACAGAGCAAGACTCTGTCCCAAAAAAAAAAAAAAAAAAAAAAAAAAAAAAATTTATTTAAAATGCATCAAAAAGACTAAAAAACATTTAAATGAACTTTTCAAAGTAGTGCAAAACTTGTAAATTGAAAAACATTGTTGAAGGAACAAAAGGAAATTTAAATAAAATGAAAGAAAACATATTCATGGATTGGCAGATGATATTTTAAGATAACAATAATTTCCAAATTGATCTACATATTTAAAGCAATTTCTATCAAAATTTCAGACGCCCATCTTCAGAAATTTGGCAAGCTGATTTAAAATCCATATGTAATTTAAAGAAACTCAGAATAGTCAAAAATAAATTTTAAAAAGAACACTACCTAATTCAAAACCTTACTACCAAACTACAGTCATTTGAACAATGTGACAGTGATATATGGATTAGCATATACATAAGTAAAACAGAATTGTGAATCCTGAAATAAACTCTAACTTTTATACAAAATTAGTTTTTTACAAAGTTTCAAAACTGTTCAATGAAATAAAAACTCTTTTCAATAAGACTATACGAAAAAAGTATGTAGTTAGACTGCTTTCTCTCACCATATTTAAAAATTAACTCCAAATGGTTCAGAGACATAATGAATAAGATAAATATATAAAAGTATTAGAAGAAAATATAGCAGTAATACTTTGTACACTTGCACTAGGCAGTTGTTTCCAATATACAATAATAATTCACAAGCTACAAAATAAAATAAATAAATTGGATTTCATGAAAATTAAAATCTTTTGGTCTCTCTGCAGCTGTAGCTCCAAGTCTTGTCTTTATTTCTCTGTGTTCTCTGCTCCTAGAGGTCCAGTTTCTGTGACCCTCTAACCTGCAAGTGTTGGGAGATACACAGCTAAGATGCCAGGGCCCCCTGGAAGCCTAGGAATTGTTCTATTTGATGTTCTGGGCAGAAGTATCCATGTCATTTTAATAAAGTGCCCAATGTGACTCTAAGGAAAAATTGAAATTTAGGGATGTGGTCACAGAATTCTCTCTGGTGGAGTCACAATGCCTGGACACTGCACAGTGGAATTTATATAGTAATGTGATGTTAGAGAATTACAGAAACCTGGTTTTCCTTGGTATTGCTGTCTCTAAGCCAGACCTGATTACCTGTCTGGAGCAAGAAAAAGAGTCTTGGACTACAAAGAGACAAGAGATGATAGCCAAATCCCCAGTTATGTGTTCTCATTTTTCCCAAGACTTTTGGCCAGAGCAGATCATAAAAGATTCTTTCCAAAAAGTGACATTGAGAGGATATGGAAAATGCAAACATGAGAATTTACAGTTAAGAAAACATGGTAAATGTGTGAATGATTGCAAGGTGCCAAAAAGAGGTTATAATGGACTTGATCAATGTTTACTCACTACCCAGTGTGAAGTATTTGAATGTGATAAATATGTGAAAATGTTTCATAAATCTTCAAATTTAAATGGACATAAGATAAGACATACTGGAAAAAAAAACCTTTTAAATGTAAAGAATGTGACAAATTATTTTGCATGTTTTCAAACCTAACTCAACATAAACTAATTTATACTAGAGTAAATTTCTACAAATGTGAAGACTACGGAAAAGCTTTTAATGGGTCGTCAATCTTTAGTAAACATAAAAGAATTCATATTGGAGAGGAACCGTACAAATGTGAAGAATGTGGCAACACCATTAATCAGTTCTCAAACCTTACTACACATAAGGTAATTTATACTAGAGAGAAACCCTATAAATGTGAAAAATGTGGCAAAGCATTTGATCTTTCCTCATATTTTACTACACATCAAATAATTCACACTGGAGAGAAACCCTGCAAATTTGAAGAATGTGGCAAAGTCTTCAACCAGTCCTCAATCCTTACTACACAAGATAATTCATACCAGAGAAAAATTCAACAAATATAAAGAATGTGGCAAAGATTTTAACGAACCCGCATACATTAGTGAACATGAGAAAATTCATACTAGAGAGAAACTCTCCAAAGGTGTAGAATGTGGCGAGGCTTTTAACCAGTCCTCACACCTTACCAGACATAAGATAATTCATACTACAGAGATACTCTACAAATGTGAAGAATATGGCACAGCCTTTAGGCAGTCCCCACACCCTATTACACATAAGATAATTCATACTGGAGAGAAAACCTGCAAATATGAAGAATGTGACAAAGCCTTTAACAAGTTCTCACACCTTACTAGACATAAGAGCATTCATACTAAAGAGAAACCCTATCAATGTTGAAAATACGGCAAAGCTTTTTATCGTTCTTGAAAACTTACTGAACACAAGCAAATTCATACTGGAGAGAAACTGTACACATGAAGAATGTGGCAAAGTCTTTAACCATTTCTCACACCTTTCTACACATAAGATAATTCATACTGCAGAGAAATCCTACCAATGTGAGAAATGTGGTAAAGTCTTTAATCAGTCCTCACACCTTACTAGAAAAGAGAAATCATACTGGAGAGAAACCCTACCAATGTGAAGAATGTGTCAAAGATTTTAACCAATACTGAAGCCTTGCAGGACATAAGAAAATTCATATTTGTAAGAAACTCTACAAACCTAAAAGATATAACAGTGATTTTGACAACACCTCAAACTTTTCTAAACATAAAAGAAATTGTACTGGTGAGCAAATCTTAGAAATGTGAAGAATGTAACAAAGTTTTTAAATGGTTGTTACACTTGATTATACATAAGATAATCCATACAAAAAAACTTGTACAAGTGTGAAGAATGTGGCAAAACTTTTAACCAATGCTCACACTTTATTGCACAGGAGATCATTTGTGCTTGAAAAAATCTTTACAAATATAAAGAATATGAAAAGTCATTAATATCTGCTCACATCTTACTCAACATCAGAGAGTTCAGACTTAACAAAAGTATTATAAATGCAAAAAAATTAAAAACTTTTGTACTTGAAAGTACAGCACTGAAAAAATAAAAAGACAATTCACAGAATGGAGGAAAATATTTCCAGGTTATTTATGTGGTAAGGGATTTGTATCCAGAATATATAAGAAATGCTTACAACTCTGTAATTAAAATAAAAACAGAAAATACCTCATTCAGTTGGGCAAAGGTTATCAGTAGACATTTCTCCAAAATACATAAACAAATGGCTACTAAGAACATAAGAATGCTCAACATCTTTAGTCGTTAGGGAAATTAATATTAAAACCACAAAGAGTATTCCTCTTTTGGATTACAGCCTGAGGAATTCCATGAACCCTATACCCAGCAAAACAAGCAAAACTGGTCAAAATATTATGAAGAAAAATTTCAAATGTTTGGAAATGGACTAAAGTGCAAAAAGCAAAGTAGAAAACATCTATTCAAGAAAATATACTAAAAATCAGCAATAACGCCCAGAATCAAAAGAATTTGAGCCACAATTCATTCTTTCTCACCTTGTCCAACTCAACATTATGGAACTTCTATTCTCAGCAAGTATAGCAAAGAAAACAAAATTAGTGGTTACCATATCTCATCAGGAAGGAAAGTCTGCCAAAATTTCTCATTCCCTTCAATTTTAAGTAGAAGACACTAAATTTTTGGTGAGTATGGCAAAGTGGTAGGAGTCTCCCTTCCTCCGCCCAGCCCTTATCTAAATGATAGAGGCTCTACCAGAAGCATGGATGGCCAGTATAATAAAGCTTTGACTTCCCTTGCATGACCTTATTTATAAATGCAACTGAGATAACCAGAGGGTATACCACCAAACCTATTGCTTAGAGAGTTTGTCCTGAGGGAAAAGCAGTCTATAAGAAAAGAGAGTTCCTAATTTCTCTCAAACATAATTAACTTTATTTGAAGCACATAGTGAGGAAGTTGAATCTTAAAGCCACTCTTGAAGAAAAAAATAGTTATTCTTAGTTAAGGGCAGAAGCAAAACTATAGGCCAGCAAGTTCACCAAAAAGACCCAGAGAAAGAGACAGTCAAGAGTCCTTCTGGTGTCAGCATAAATATCAAAAACCAGTCTCAAAAACATCTTCAACTGAATTTAATTGAATCAGACTTCTAAGCAGTTTATGCAATGAGGGAGTTGTCAAAAACAATAGAGCAATCAACTGGTAATTGACAGGGTCTGACTGGCAGGGTGCATTACCAAATGAAGAACACAACTTAACAGAGAGATTAGGAAAATAGATTCTAAGAAGTCCATTCTAATATCACTGGCATCCTAAGGTAACACAAAACACACTGAAGATTGTAGGATCTGAAAAATGACACCAAAATGACACTGTTTCCTTCTCAATATGGAGCAAAAAGATTTTCCTAAATTTACTAGAATACTTTAGCAAAGAAACAAAAAGTGAATAACAAAATAAGCCACAAAGAGGTATGGGAGAATTAGTATCCAAGGTTACTACAACATACTACATAAAAATTCCAGGTTTTAAGGGAGAAAAAAAAAAGACACAGAATTTTTCTCAGCCATTTTGCCAACTGGGGAACTTCATGTCCAGTGACACACTCCACTCCCCCAGGCCTCACTCAACCCTGGGCCTGCCACTGGAGGCACCCCACCCACTTGGCCTGGCTGCATTGTGGCTTGTACCTATGAAGGTATTTTATGACTTGTACCTATGAACTATGTTCATTAGTTCCTGATGTCTTGTCCTGTATCCAAGAAGAATGAGGATACAGTGACAATTCAAAGGGTGAAGGGAGCAGAGGAGCATTTAAATTGATTGATAGAGCAGCTCTCAGTTGAGAAGGAATGAAGAGCTGTCCCCTCACCCCTGCCATTGAGGCTTTTATGGGCTCAGAATACAGGTGTGCATGGTGACTGGTTTGTAAGTATGCAAAGAAAGGCTAAAGCAAAGTCATCACGTAAGGTGGACATGGCAGTGTAGAAAACCAATTAGGAAAGGGTAGATACGTGTAAAATAGGTGAAGAGGGGGATCAATCAAAGAAAAGCATGCAAAACAGGAATATGCACATGTACCCTAGAACTTAAAGTATAATAATAATAATAAAAAGGAGTTTATAGCAATAAACGTCTACATCAAAAAAGGAAACAAACAAACAAACAAACAAACAAAAAACAGGAAGACAGGTTTTCAATCTCGTCCATGGATTTGACTTGTAGCTTGGCTTTCAAGTTTTAAACTGTCTTTGACTTGTAGCTTGGCTTTCAAGTTTTAAACTGTCTTTGACTTGGAGGTTGGGTTTAACCAGGCACCCACCCCTATATGCCTAGACATTTGTCTGCCTCCTGTTGCTATCAAAAGTTCAAAACTCGCAAAGAAACAGAAATATGTGTCCCATGCAAAGGAAAAAAACATAGGCAATAGAAACTATCTGTAAGAAGAAAGAGATGTCAGATTTAACAAAAATTTCAATGTAACCATTATAAATATGATTAAAGAACCAAAGGAAACTGTGCTTAATTAAGAAAAGTAAGATATAAAAAGAAGGTCTCATCACATATATAAGTGAAAAGATGTAATATAAGTGATAAAATATAAGTGAAAAAGAATAACATGGAAATTCTGGAGTTGAAAATTACAATAACCAAACTAAAAATTTATTACAAGAGGTCAGCAGTAGATTTGAAAAAGCAAGAGAATGAGCAAAATTCAAGATATATTAATAGCTATTATGCAATCCATAAAACATAGAAATAATAAAATAAAGACAAGTTAACACAGCCTCAGATAAATGTGGGGCACATGTAAGCACACCACAACATAACAATTGAGTACTGAGCTTAATAACTGAATGATGTAGTAATATGTACAACAAACCCAAGTGACACGTGTTCATCTATGTAACAAACCTTCACATGTACCCCTAAACCTAAAATAAAATTTTAAAGAAAAAATGAAAAATCAGGAAACTAAATTATATCACCAGAGAAAAATCATCTTCACTAGAGAAAGACAGGAAAGAAAGAAAGAAGAAAGAGAAGGCTGCAAAATAACCAGAAAATAATAAGAAAATGGCAGAAGTAAGTCCTTACTTATCAATAAAAACATTGAGGGTACATGGATTAAATTCTCCATTCAAAAGAAATAGACTGAATGAATACATAAAAAAAACAAGACTCATAGTTCTGTTGCCTACAAGAAACATAAATCACAATAAAGACATAGAGAAACTGAAAAGTAAAAAGATGGAAAAACTTACTTCATGCCAATGGAAACCAAAAATAGCAGGAGTTGCTATATTTATATCAGAAAAAATAACTTTCAAGATAAAACTATAAAAGACTAAAAAGAAGGTCACTACATAATGGTGAATGAAAAAGAAACTCACTACATAATGATGAATGAATGACTTCAGCAAGAGGACATAGTAATATCAAACATGTATGCACCCAACACTGGAGTACCCAGATATATAAAGAAAATATTATTAGAGCTACAGAGAGATGAGTCCCAATACAATAATAGCTGGAGAATTCAACATTCTGCTTTCAGTGTTGGTCAGATCTTCCAAACAGAAAATCAAGAAAGAAATAATTTATGTCATCAGATATAATTTGCACTATATACCAAATAGATCTAATATATATTTACAGAACATTTCATCCAAGAGCTGCAGAATACACATTTTTTTCTTGGCACATGGATTATTCTCAAGGACAGATCATATATTAGGTCGCAAGTCTTAAAATATTCAAATAATTGAAATTATATACAGAATCTTCTATGACTACAATGGAGTAAAACTAAAAATTAATAACAACAGGAATTTTGAAAACTGTAGAAATATATTGAAATTAAACACTATGCTCCTGAATGACCAGGAGGTCTATGAAGAAATTAAGAAGGAAAATGAAACATTTCTGTAAACAAATGATAATGGAAACATGACATACCAAAACCTATGGAAAACAGGAAAAGAAGTACTAAAATGGAAGTTTATAACTATAAATACCTATGTCAAAAAAGAAAGACTTTAAATTAACAATCTAACAATGAATCTTAAAGAACTATAAAAGGAAGACCAAACCAACCTCAAAATTACTAGAATAAAACAAATAATGTAAGTAGGAGCAGAAATCAGTGAAATTAAAATGAAAACAACAAAACAAGATTGATAAAATGAGAAGTTGTTTTTTTGAAAAGTTAAACAAAATTTACAAACCTTTAGTCAGACTAAGAAAACTAGAGATAAGATCCAAATAAATAAAATCACAAATGATAAAAAGGGATATTATGACTGATACTGCAGAAATTCAAAGGATCATTAGTGGCTACTATGAGCAACAATATGCCA